GGAAAGTTCCAGCTCCAGAAGACCCACAGCGCATCCTGCTGGAGACAGAGGGTAATCTCCAGATCCCCACAGTAACTCCAAACCTAAGGGAAAAACAAAGAGAGCAGAAGAGGATCCTCGGCGCCCTCTGGTGGGCAAGCCTGAGGATCCCAACACTCCCATTGTTTCTGTCTCCCATATATATACGCTTCCTGTTCAGTTACTCTTTGCTGGATCCACATCATTCTTTTGGTTTATTCTTCCCTTGTGTCTCCTAGGGTTGTTTATTGGTTCTTGAATTGTCGTTGTTGATCAATTCTGGAGTTTGTATTTTGTATTATTACGTTTTTTCATAAGATCTGCAAGAAACCACCTCAGCTTCCATCTCTGGGTTTGGGTCTTCTAAAAACCACGACACAATCAGACAAGGAAGGGATTGCAGTTTCTTCCTTCAAGCAAATACAATTTGGTCCTGAAACTCAGTCCAAATTAATTACATAAGCCCACTTACCACAAGTGAAATACCTTACACACAGAAGACTAATAAAAAACAGGTTTTGATTTGCGTCTGAAAAGCATTGTGCCAAAACATTAGCAGGCTAGCTACAGATTGCTCTAATGTCAGGCAAAAAAATTATGTGTCTTCATAAAAACTGAACGAAAGGCCGGTTACTTCCCATTTCAGCTTGTTTTTTTTTTGTTTTTTTTTTTGTGGTTACAATGACTCAGCTATTTACCTCCAACAGTCGAAAAAAATGTCTTTATCAAATCTCTATGTTTGTCTACAGTTCCTCTACCATCTCCTAAAAATCTGATGGAGGTGACAGTGCCGGTTGTTGGAAACAGACAGTGCAAGTGTAACTATGGGGAGAGGACGATCACTGAAAACATGATATGTGCTGGGTTACAAGAGGGAGGCAAGGATTCCTGTCAGGTGATCATCTTTTTACTTCTATCTGGTTTTATCTGAAGAAAATAGTTCAAGTTTAATCAAAACTTAAATGTTTCTGATCTTCAAGGGGGATTCAGGAGGTCCGATGGTGAGCAAACAGGGTGACCGCTGGATTCAAGCAGGAATTGTAAGTTTTGGAATTGGGTGTGCTAGGCCAGAATTCCCAGGAGTCTATGCCAGAGTATCCCAGTATGAGACCTGGATCAACAGTTTGATCCGCATCAACCAGCCAGGCTTCATTACCTTCACATCTGAAGGGACTGATAGTGACCTCAGCTTTTCCTGTACAACCCCACCAACAACACTAACACCAACTAAACCTAAACGTAAGTACCTATTTCCAAAAATTGTGTAAAGAAAAAAACAAAAACTATGTTCACAACATGGAATAATGGCCTAGTGGTTAGAACACTGTGCTTGGGTCTCGTAGGTTCTGAGTTCAAGTCCCACACACTCTAATGGACTGCCACTCTGGCCCTGAGCAAGACCCTTGACCCCAGACTGCTCCCTGAGTGCCACACAAGGGCATCCCACTGCACCCCTAGGGGATGGGTTAAATGCAGAGAGGGAATTTCGTTGTTTTGTATTAGTGACAATAAAGTTGAATTCTATTCTAAAATACTGGTTATGAATATAATGGAGCATTAAGGTAGCAAGAAATCAATGGTACCTTTTGAGCTACTGTCTAAAGCTGGTGAGTGTCTATCTGTAACTAACAGATATTACTGGTTTCTACAACAAGGTTTTCAAAATGTAGGGTAATCTTCGAAATCGATGAGACTCCGCGAATTACAGTATAAATTTAACACTGTCTGTTATACAGTTGCTTTCCAAGTACAACACACGGAACAGGAAAAGCTGTCATTAGGTAAAACACAGATGCCAGAAGGGACATCTCTTGTACAAAAACAATTCATCGGATTCATCGTGATTAATCGATTATTGAAATAACCGTTAACTAATTTGGTAATCAATTAATCCTTAACTGGAGTATAGGGACTTGAAAACACGCCTTTAGCTGCCAGAGCAACACACTTAGACCAGCAATTATACCAAGATTGTAAAAATTATAGATATCATGCATTTAAGATAAAAAATAAAAAAAAACTCCACAAATGGAAACATTTTAGTTTCACTCGTTTTAATTTTGATAGTCTTCTTTAACGAACCTTTGGCTATTCAGTTATAAATGATTAATAAAACAAATGATCAAAAGCCTATGGTTATTGCATAGATCTTTGAATTCTGAGGTTCTGAGTTTGAGCCCCACAGGTGGCCACTAAGGGTCCTTGAGCCAGACGCTTTACCCCAGACTGCTCCTCTGGCAGGAATAATAAATTAAATTAACTCAGCAGCTTGTGTCCTTGTCTGAGCTTTTACAGCACCTCACAAGCTTAGATATCAGGCCAACACGTCATCTTGTTGTATTTCTCTTATTTGCTATTGGACTGGTCAAAATGGTATTCCAAGCAGACAACAAGTTCTCCAAAAGCAAAGAGGGTAGGAATATCATCCTACCTTAAGATTATCTTAAGGGCAGCAAGACTGTCAGAAAGGGCAGGGCAGGGAAAATATCAAACAAGCCATGAGAACCAGCCTCAATATTAGTTTCATACATTTCAAGGTAATAATGTTTTTTTTAGCTCAGACACAAAAGCACATACAAAAAGGATAACAAGTAAAACTCAATTTAATTAAACTCAACACATACTGCTGGACCACCAACTACAGTTCTATCTACAAGATGTACCATTACTGGTAATCACCCTGATGTGAATGTGTTTAAGCTTCAAAGAGTTTGTCATTGAGTAGTTCACTTTGGTGTAAATGTCTTCCAGGATGGCATATCCAAAGCAAAGAGGAATTATTTTGTTAAGCTTGGGATTTGAGTAAAAGAAATTAGAATACACAATCCATATATGGGGTCCTTTTTGCAGCAACGTCAGCTTTAAAACGCTCATCGTCTCCATCTCTTAATGCTTTATATCCTGTTTACTATCAAATAGAGACTACTGTAGCCATAGAAAACAGAAAGCAAGGAGGTATTTTATGGCCACTTGTGACATTTGTGTGCAGAAATTATCGCTTTGCATTGTAAAGTTAATGTGTTTTACTGAAATGCGTCTCTGTAAATTATTAGTCAAAAATTTCCCCCTTCCTTTCGATTTTCTTACAGCTGTAGTCTGTGGACAAGCCCCACTGGGTTCTCGTATTTTGGGAGGTGTTTCAGTGACGTCAGCTGGCGAGTGGCCATGGATGGCGAGCTTGCAGAGAAAAGGCCAGCATGTCTGTGGAGGGACGCTAGTGTCTGAGAACTCTGTGCTGACCAATGCTGACTGCTTCTCAGAGTAAGTTGAAGCTGAGGATGACAGGTTTCCATAAGTAATATTAACTTAAGGCACATCACAGACTTTGTGGCCTTAAAGACTTGATGCCTATGAGTTATTGTAAATCATTCCTCAGACCAATTAACAGCGCTTGACACTATCAATGCTACAAGCGGGGCTCCCCTTTTGAAATACCGACTATGTAAGTTGGGAGATGATTGACCTTCTTTGGCCAGGTCATATAACCTGGAAGAACGTATGGCTTTATGGCTGTAGGCTCTTACGTGGTCATGGAGCTAAAGCTTTTGCTCTACTATTTTTCTGCCTGCTCTAAAACTGTTTATGGCTTAAGATAAGAAAAAAAGTATAAACCTTCTGAGGAGGCTTAAGAGAGAAAACATGAGAGGGATTGTGCCTGAGGAAAAACGAGTCAGTCATTGAAAGGAGTTTATTCGTTGGCACACGCTAAAAGAAGAAGCCAGGTTTGAAACCCATTCTCTTTTCTTGTAAGTTAAGACTTGTATACAGTCATATATCTGTTATTATTTTCAATGTTGACAGGGTGCTGTGGTGGTTTCTGTGCCAGCGTAGTCTTTGTTTTTCTCCTGTTAGCCAATCGTGGTTGTTTGGCTCTGAATCCTACTTCCGAACACCATCCGCGAGTCACAGATCTCTGCCGAACCGATCAGCCTCTGGTCTGCTCTGCAGCCTCTCAGAGATTCATCCGTTACACATGTGCTTAGTCAGCGTGACGCCCAGGTCACTGTCACTTGCCACCACTCCGCAGGCTGAATCGGTCCAGCCCCGACTAACTTTCTACCGACCAGCCTCCTCCCGCTTGGTAGCCACCTTCCCTACTGCCACCACCTGCATTTCCCCCCATGGACCTCCTCAGCGCCTCTCATCCCCCCCTGTGGATCGTTCACGTCTCACGCAGTAAGCCTTTAGTGCTGTTGCTCTCATTGTACACATACTCCCATTAAACTCCCTCTGTTGCAGTGTGCCTCATGCTCCCTTCTTTTCCAGACGCCTTAAAGAAACTCCACATGTTTTCTTTCTTTGTTTTTTTGAATTTTTCCTTTTTTTAATAAACGATCTTAATTCTGCCCTACCTGTCTTCTCGCAGATGACAGATATTTAGTAGAGCAAAATAAGGGCATTAACAGGTCAAGTGCCCCTAGTGGCCAAAAGATACACTGTGTGCCTCGAACTAGATAATAATTTTAAGCTGGAAATATGCTTAAATACACTTTTAGCTTTTATTTAGTCCTTCTTCTATTCTTCAGCTCGAATGAGGCTTCTGAGTGGACAGTCATGTTGGGTCGTCTGAAGCAGAACGGATCTAACAAGTTTGAGGTGTCACTGAATGTGATAAATATCACTATGAGCAACCTGACAGGAAGCAACATCGCAGTGCTAAAGCTGTCATCCCCACCCCCCCTGAACGACTACATCCAGCCAATCTGCTTGGACAATGGAAGAACTTTCCCAGTAGGGTCAGCTTGTTGGGCTGCTGGCTGGAGCTCTGAAAGAGGAGAAGGTGAGACTAATACACAAAGGCTGAGAGCATTGTTAATATTTACACAATGATCAATCAGGAATATTGCAACTTAGGACAGTGTACCAGTAAGGAAAGTTTATTTATTTCCTGACCATTAGACGAACAAGCTCTGCAGCAGTTAGAGACAACAGTACTTCATTGTGGGGATTCATCATCATCTGACAGCATCTGCACACAATCATTCACCCTGGAGAAGGTAAACATGCCAATACTTCTCACCCACTTTTTGGTTTTGTATATTGCTGAATTAGGGGTTTACAGTCAAACTTTATTGAGGACCAACTCTGTCATATTTAAAAATAAATACAGAAAAAGATAAATGCTCAATAAATGAATAAGCATACAATTAATAGCCCCCCAAAATACAGTAAACAAATAAAGGTAGACATTATATTTGTCATGTTATCTTTAAGGGATCTGACCCACATGCAGAAAACCACTCAGAGAACCAGAGTAAAAGTTTAACAGGTTTATTGAAAGCACAATGCGTTGGATCCAGGGTGGCTCAGAGAGCTGGTGAGCCAGAACTGGAAGAGAGAAGGGAAGTTCACAGTTTAGTTCAGGTTCCAGGGGAAACTTGAACGACGATTTGCAAAAACAAAGAATGAAACGGGACTCACGTTTCCAGAAAAAGTGTTCTTTCCTGTCGGTGTGGGTTATTCCAGAATTCGGTTGACTCGTTGGAGGGCGGACAGGTTTTACTTTGGTATGTTGGTTCCTTGAGGATCAATGGAGTGGACTTCCACTTAGGTTTCCATCCAGTTTGCATCCCCTGCTCAATGTGAAGCTCAAACGATCCTTCCAGGGGGAGAAGGCCAAACAAGTTTAAAACTCAGAGAGACAAAGACTCAGTTAGACTCAGCTAAACTCAGCTTGGCTAGAGTACCCAAAACTGGCAAACACTTTGGCCCCGAGGTACGTAGTGATAGTCCATTGCTTAAGTACTCCTCCAGATAATGGTCCAACGAGCAGCAGGTGTGCAGGGAGGCTCAATGAGAACGGGGCACCACCTGGTGGAGGAGAAAAGGAAACACAAAAACAACCCACAAAAACTGGATTCCTGAAAATATCATACAGTGAGACATAAATGGATATCTCCTTTAATTAGCTTCTTTATTTATTCGACTTAGTAATAATTACCTTATTTATTTATCATCATTATAATCTTCAACTTTATTTATTTATTACTTATTTTTTAAGTATTTATTTATGTGCAAGTAATAATATTTTTGTCTGTTTTATTCTTCCTTTGTATATTGTTTCCCTATTTATTTCTTCCATGCTATTTATTTCTGAGTGTCGTTTTTAAATTTCTTTCTGCATTTCTGCCTCATTATGTAAATGAGTAAGGGGTGTGTCTTAGAGGGTCAACTTCTGGTTGGTTAGCATTTTACTGCATCGGTCGAATCTACAGGAGGAGAGCAGAGTCACTGGCCGTTTCTTAATTCACAAGAGCGTGAGTACAGACTCCTGTTCTCACAAAGCATGTTCTTGAGAAGAACACAGGAATGTATGGACTCTGGGAGAACGGGAGCACGCAGCGTAAATATGGGTCAATTGGAACAAAAGTGTATTAATGACGTCACCACACGCTTGGCCCGTCTGAAGCTGCTTTTCACCTCCTGTTATTAATAAATTCTAGATAATAAATTCTGAATTTTTGTATTTAGTCAGGGAAGAATAATGAACACAGTCAGATACACACAAATCAAATGAACATTTTCCCAAATAAAACAAAAAAATCGCTATCATAGCCAGTGGTCCTTCTCACACGATGACATGCCGAGAGAGGGCTGCTGCAGACGGGCTGCTGTTAGCCCTGGCTGTTGTGCTTTAGGGGCAATTAATTGTATGCCTATATATTTATTGAGCATTTATTTATATCTGTATTTATTTTTAAATATGGCACAGTTGGTCCTCCTTAAACTTAGCATGATTTCAATAAAATAAAAAATAAATAACAAACAGGACACCATTTGAATTATTTTTATGGCGTAATTTTGCTGAACATTTCATGTATCATTTTAGCTTACATTTACTTCAGTAATTCATTTTACATAAAAAAAAAATTCTTATCATTGATTACATAGGGCTAGTCACTCTGAAAATCCCCCCTACCTCAGCTCAACGTTGCCTAGGTCCAGGCATGAGACACTTATGCACTTTAGTTAGATAAGTGACATGTTTTTAACATATGTAAGAGCAAAGTTGGACCTTGAAGCTGACAGAAGCCTAGAAAGAAAATAATAAATGTTGTTGAGGATAAATCTGAAATATGAAAACTAGATTCCAAAACCCTTTTTTGTTGGTGTACAGGTTTTACTTTTGAGATCTAAAGTTTATAATTGTGAGAATAAAAATGTGTGTTTTTTCTGTTAGTCATCAGACTTGGTAACTGAGACTTACTGCATTTTCTTATATAATTCATTCCTTCTTGCTCAGTCTGTCTTAATGTCTGAATCTGTAGCAGATAATAATCTTCTCTCTGTTTCAGACTGACTCTGGTGGTCCGCTCATGTGTAAGCAGGATGGCTCTTGGTTCCAGGTAGTTGTGCTAACATCTCCAAGCACCTCCAACAGAAGTAAACGAGCCGAGCCTATGATGGTCTTTGAAAAACTGGACCGCTTTGAGTCCTTTCTGACTCGTACACTGGGACAATTCTTGTCTCCTGCTGTGACTGTCAATGACAACAGCACCAATACCACCACAACCCCCTCCAGCATGACAACCAGTGGGGTTTCAGTTTCCTACTCTCCATTTTCCCTTTTAGGCCATCTTCTTCTCTTTGCTCTATGCCTCCAAACCTTCAAATAGACTGATTGTCAAGATATCAAACACACATAAAAATATGGTGAAGGTGTTTTTATTTTAGTCAATAATACTCTGATATGATTTAAAGGTTGTTTCTGCCTTTGGTTGATTAAAAGGATCATAGTTAACACCATGTTACCATTTACCTGAAAACAAGACAAATTCTTAACACGATATCAACCTTAGAGTAAAAAAAAAAACTCGGATATGCAAGGGTTAATGAACAGGTAACAGATAATTAAGAAAATGGGTCTAATGTAAGTTTTAATTATATCTTTAGTATGTATCATGAAGTTACTTTTCTCAAATTATTATTACATATTATGAACATTACTTATTTCTTATTCAATAAATCATTCTTTGATGCATTTCTGAATACTAAGCAAACTGCCAATCGCTGATGTATCCATAATGGATTTAAGATATTTGAAAATAATGTTCCTATTTCTTGATGGATTGTGATTGCTTTAATTCTTTCACTCACATGTGAAACATTACTTTGAATATACATATTTAATAAAGAGGTAAAGAACAGCATTTAAATATTCTTTCTTTCATTGAAATCTCTCTGCATTTTAATGCATATTTAATATCAGGGGCTGCACAATTGTGCTGTTGCTTTGTGGCAAGAGTGACATGGGTTTGATTCCTAGTCTTTGTTCTTTCTAAATGCATTTTGCATGTTCTCCCAGTGCATGAGTGAGCTCTCTCCAGGTACTGTACTCAAGCTTCCTCCAAAAGTCCAAAACCATAACTGTCAGGTTAATTGGTGTCTCTAAATTTTCCTTGGGTACGAGTTTATGTGTGAATGGTTGTATGTCTCTGTGTTGCCCTGCAGCAGACTGGCGAATTGTCCAGGGTGTACCCTGACTCATGCCTGTAGACTGCTGCAGATAAAGTAGCCACTGGCCCCATGGCAACCCTGATGGATGCATGTAATATCACACTTTTTTTGTGCTTGTTGGCAAAACAGGCTCTTTTATTAAACCTATTTAGTAGACAGAGTTCGGCAAGTAATCTCCAACATGTACCGGTAATATATTGTTGTAGCCATCTTGCCATGTTTTCGTTCTGTTGTTTGAAACAAACTTCCTCTTCTACTGCTTTATCTGCTGTTGTAAGATAGGCTTCACAGAGATATATATATATATATATATATATATATATATATATATATATATATATATATAAAAAAGGTACACTCAGATCAACGATATAACAGAGTAGAATGGAGTATTTTCTCAGCATCACCCCTGGCTAAGATATTTCTAGCTTTTATTGTCGTTTGTATGCACAGAGTGCAGCAATGACGGAGAAAAAAACATGGTGGAAGAAACACATTGATATGGAAATATGGTGCAAATGTGCAGAATGTGGGATTGTGTTATCAGTGTGATGCCTCTTCAAAGAGCGCAGCAGGGAGAACTGTCCATGGTGGGGATGTGAGGAAGGGTGGCCAGATGTCCGGCTTTAGGGCGGACAGTCCAGGTTTTCATTGCACTGTCCGGTGTCCGGCGCCGCATCCAGCCAGACGTGTATTTGTCCTCCTTTATGAGGCACTAGACTTGTAGAGCAGATATACATATATTTTTTTTGCTGGGCTGCATCACAATATCCAATCATCAAAAATGCCTCACTATCTGATCTAACAGATGATTGGCTAAGAGTGGCGGCGTGTCAGATAAAGATCTGCTTGTCATTGGTTACAAAAGTAAAAACAAGGATCAGAATTACTCATGCCAACTATTAAAGCTAGCATCCTGTCAAAACCAGGATGTCATTTAACCCAGAATGGGCAAAAGCGTGAATTTATCATGTTGTGCCATATGCCATGATCATACTTTTTTTACTAGTCTTAGTTGAGAGTGTTAAACTGAAATACGTTTGACTTGGAGCTAAATGATTTTTGTTAATAAACTCTTATATTTTGAACAGAAGTTGTGGTGAATTTGTGCAGAAATAACTGTTTGACCAGGATTAGTGCTCGAATCACTCTTTCATCTATTGTTCTAACACACAGTTAGTAGGACTGTGTGTCATAAACAGTATGTAACAGCTGAAATAATATCTGATTAAATAAGATATTTTACCACCCCTACAGGGGAGGGCAATAAACATCTTAAAGTATCAGAAACATAAATTTCCAGCGGGCTGGGAATAGAAAAGAACATAAAATCACAACAATGACCAAAGGTAGTGGAGATTCATTCCATGGTTTCTACCACTTTGTCGATGCGATGTGGGCGTAAGCAGTCGAGAAAAAGCTGCAATTGAACAGCGTGCAAGTACGGATTAACATAAAAGTAATAAACGTGCAGCGAACTCTTCAATGTTGGCTTTTACATTAAGTTTTGTCGCCCTGGATGCTAAAATAACTTGTGCAGAGCTGCAAGGTGGACTATACTTTAAAACATCACCAGTCCTACAGAAGTGTAGACTCTGACGTGAAAGTGGATTTCAGTGATTCGCCCATAGCTAAAGGGATGACCATAAAGACAGGCCTGCTGCACACACAGACACTTAAGATAAGTTCCCAAAAGACTGAGGCTCTTAAAAATAAAGCTATACTTTTAGAGCAGTTTAATGTGTTTTCTACAATCTCTTTTGTTGTTTAAAAAAATATTAGGCTATTTTATTATGAATGTTTCTTGTTAAAAAGATTTGTTTAACGTTTAAGTCCAGACATGTTATGCTTTGTGGTATTCTGCACTTTAAAGATTCATCTCGGTCGTCACTTTTTAAACACCACAACGTATTAAATAAATACAAATGCTGGGAACCAATTCTTTTTTTACACTTCTTTAATATGTTTTTTATTCAGCTACACAAGCATCTTCTTTAAACTACTACAACTTTTACTATAAATGTGACTTTACCCGATTCTTATGTACACCTTAGTAATTTATTGATATGCCGCACAATGTCCTCCTTTTTGGTGCTAAAGAAATGTACACCCTAGTGTGAGGGGTCATTGATGATACCATTACCAATAGAATACCAGCTGCCTGCTTCTGCTCTAAATAGTTCTTGCACAATTTGGAGGTGTGTTTAGGGTCATTACCCTGTTGTAGGATGGAATTGGCTCCAATCAAGCGCTATCCATTGGGTATGGCATGGCGTTGCAAAATGGAGTGATAGCCTTCCTTATTCAGAATCCCTTTTACCCTGTACAAATCTCCCACCTTACCAGCACCAAAGCAACCCCAGACCATCACATTACCTCCACTATGCTTAACAGATGGCGTCAGGCATTCTTCCAGCATCTTTTCATTTGTTCTGCTTCTCACAAACGTTCTTCTTTGTGATCCAAACACCTCAAATTTGGATTCATCCGTCAGCAACACTTTTTCCAGTCTTCCTCTGTCCAATGTCTGTGTTCTTTTGCCCATCTTAATCTTTTTCTTTTATTGGCCAGTCTCAGATATGGCTTTCTCTTTGCCACTCTGGACCGGAGGCCCAGAATCCCAAAGCCACCTCTTCACTGTAGATGTTAACACTGGTGTTTTGCGGCTACTATTTAATGAAGATGCCAGTTGGGGACCTGTGAGGCGTCTGTTTCTCAATCTAGAGACACTAATGTACTTATCTTCTTGCTCAGTTGTGCAACACGGCCTCCCACTTCTTTTTCTACCCTGGTTAGAGTCCGTTTGTGCTCTCCTCTGAATTTCTTAGCAATTTCTTGCATGGAATAGCATTCATTTCTAAGAACAAGAATGGACTGTGGAGTTTCAGATGAAAGTTCTCTTTTTCTGGCCATTTTGAGTGTTTAATTGACCCCACAAATATAATGCTCCAGAAACTCAATCTGCTCAAAGGAAGGTCAGTTTTGTAGCTTCTGTAACGAGCTAAACTGTTTTCAGATGTGTGAACATGATTGCACAAGGGTTTTCTAATCATCAATTAGCCTTCTGAGCCAATGAGCAAACACATTGTACCATTAGAGAACACTGGAGTGATAGTTGCTGGAAATGGGCCTCTATACACCTATGTAGATATTGCACCAAAAACCAGACATTTGCAGCTAGAATGGTCATTTACCACATTAGCAATGTATAGAGTGTATTTCTTTAAAGTTAAGACTAGTTTAAAGTTATCTTCATTGAATACTACAGTGATTTTCCTTCAAAAATAAGGACATTTCAATGTGACCACAAACTTTTGAACGGTAGTGTATATTTAATGCTCTGAACTTCCATATCAATTAATTTTGTTGCACCATGTTTTTTCTCCCACACTGTTTACATTTGATCTCTGCAGCACTTTAAGGAATGAAAAAGTAATGAAAGCTGTATAAAAGGAAATGTTGTTTTGCATACATGGCTGTCTAACTCTAAGTCTGGGGTAATGTTACACTAAAGATGATGACAATGCTATTTTGCGGTTGCAGAACAATGATCAATAATTGCTTTAGCCTTTAGCATAATATACTAATCAATAAATAGGTAGCGCTATTGGTTAGTTTTAACATCAGTGAGCCTAATTCATTCCAATTCCTGCCACCCTTGGGCTAATGTGAAGCTAATATATTATATCTATTTAGCAGGTCCTAAAAGGTTAATTGCATTTACGAATATCCTTTTTCCAGGTGGTACTAGTCAGTCAAAATACTATTAGTTAGTTTTCCATAGTTCTGTAGGCATACATACTGTGGTCTGCCCGTCAGGTAATCAACAATCCAAGACAAGATGGGGGCCTCCACCTGCATCGCAGTCATCTTCTCACCCAGTAGAGCCGGGCAGATGGTGTTGAAGGCACTGGAGAAATCAAAGGTGATTCTCGAAGTGCTTGACGGCTTATCCAGATGATTGTAGACTCTGAAGCTGAGAGAAAAAGGTAGTATGACATTCTACAGCGATTGGTGGCAAATAATTTAGTCCGTAGCTGAAAGAAACATGGGTTTTGGGGTTCCTCAGAAGCACTAAACAAACCAGACAATGGACTTTTTCTCATAGAGGTAATGCTCTTGGCCAGATTTGATCCAGTGATGAAGCAGCAAGTCAGTAGGATGGCAAGTGAATGTTGCAGTCATGTACTTTATCTTGGCCATAATTTTAGACTGCACCCCTGATCTAAGTAATAAGGAACAGCTGTCTTTCATAGTCAGGATAGTGTCACAAGAAGACATTCCTCAAGTAAAAGATAATTTCTTAGGCTTTCTGGTGGCATGGCAGTCAACTGGAGAACATTTGTCATCTCTAATCCTGAAAAGGCTAGAGGAACTTAACATCCCATTTGAGGACTGCAGAGGCTATTCCTATGACAACAGTACCATAATGAAGGATAAAAAGAAAGCTTTTTATGTCCCATGTGGTGTCCACGCTTTAAATCTGGTAGAAACTGATGCTGCAAAAAGCTCACCAGATGCCCTTGGCTACTTTGAGCATTTGACAAAATTATTCAAGCTCTTCTAAGCCTCCAT